AGATACTTTGAATTTAATTCCTTTTGAAATATGCACACGATGAATTTTTTTGGGAATATGATTTATTTTCTTGCTCAGTAACCAGTCAGTAGTCACATGAAGATAAAAGATAAGCATGATCTACAGAGCGTATTTGAGGTTTTCTTGAATGTTTTGGTTTTCAATATGTGAACAGCCTTAAATCTAATTGCTTTAAGTAAAAAATGTGTTTTAAAAAAGATTTTAAATGAAAAATATGATGCTTGTATTATTATTTTTAAATTGAAATTATTTATTGAGGCAGGCATGGTGTCTCACCTGTAATCCCAGTATTTTGGAGGGCAAGGTGGGTGGATCACTTAAAGTCAGGTGTTGAGACCAGCCTAGCCAACATGGTGAAATCCTGTCTCTATTAAAATACAAAAATTTAGCCAGGTGTGGTGGCTAATGCCTGTATCCCAGCTATTCGGACGTGAGGCAGAAGAATCACTTGGTCTTGGGAGCCGGAAGTTGCAGTGAGCCTAGATCATACCACTGGGCAACCCTGTGAGGCTTGTCTCAGAAAAAAAAAAAAAAAATAGTAAAAAAGAAATTATTTATTAATATTATCTTTAACAGATTATCTCTGTGATGATACACAGAATTATGTGTGTTTAACTGAGGCTACATATAAAAAGAAATAAAGACAATAAATGGCAAAATAGAAGGTAAGAACCATTTTTTATTTAAAACATCATTTGACCAAATTTGTCAAAGCATGAGGACTGATATACTCTGACAGCCAAAGAAAATTATTTTTTAAATGTGTAGCATGGAAGACAAAAGGAGTGAAAGTTACATGTCTTCTCAGGTGTTGGCAACAGATTATATTGAGAGTCAAAAAAAGAGCTGAATTATTAGTTTAAATTCATATACTCTAAGACCTGAGAAAGGAGTAAAAGAGGGAATGAAGACAAGGAGAGACAGGGAGTACATGAGGGAACAAGAAGCAGGTTTATAATGGAGAATGGTAAAATAAAATAATTCTTAGAAAGATAGAGCATGATTAGAAAGCTGGAAGAATAAAAGTGACCTTCCATTACCAAAAGTTGCCAGGGAATTACAGCAAACATGTTGTCACTCCTGTCTTTCTCACTGGTGGGAAGGCATTAGGGATGGAAGCACTGACCATGGAGAGTTGTGTTTTATCTGCAATAGGTGAATATAAGCATATTGGCACAGCCATGCTGTATATAATTTGTCATATACACTCAGTATAGACCAGAAGTTTTCACACTTTTAAAATCAGCTGAATACCTTTTTAACAGTGCACGCGGACTTGGATTCTGGCATTTTAAATAAGTTCTCAGGTGATGCCGTTGCTGGTGGTCCTTGGACCTCACTCTTAAGTAGCAAGAATAGCCTTTCCTTTGGAAAAATCTGGAAGAAGGGCAATTGGATAGAAGTCAAGACATAACAGGGTCAAGGAAAGCATTATATTGCTTTTATTTCTGATCTGTTTCTGGCCATAGGGGAAAAAGAGGTAAAGAAATAATAATTCAGGTGCAGATACTATTCCTAATCAAAGAGAAAGAAAGTGTGTTGGGAAAATTGATTTTAAAAGATGTTGAATGGGAAAATGAAGACCACAGATGTGGACAATTTTGGCTAAGAGGAGAGGGATTGCGAACATGAAATGGGGCAAGAAAGAAGATAGCCAGGCAACTTTGGAGTTTCTGAATAGGAAATTTGAGTGAATTCACTTCAGATGCATTTACAATATTTGCACTCCAGCAGATTAGATTTGGGTACTCCAGAGACTACCGGAAGTGGAGGATTACTAGAATTGGAGTAAACTATGGTGACTTTAGTTTTCTCTATTACTATCAGCATAAAAGGTATTTTTTGTTGATATTAGCTATTCAAATGAGAATATTTGAATCTAAGAGCATTGGCTTTATTTTTAATGAAGCAAATTGTTTTGGTAAAATTGTTGTTCTATAAAAATCCATTAGACACACTTAACAAAGCAGACTAATTTTTAGAAACAAATACTGAATTTATTACTTGAATTCTAAAATTTTTTTAAATAAGTATTTTCCTGATTTAAAATATAAAATATTATTTTATGTAATAAGTATGTTGCCATAAATTTTCAAATAAACGTCAAATTGAAAGCAATATTTTTTAAATGAATTTTGTATATATTTTGCATGAGTGAATCAAGAAAATTTCTGAGGATAAACTAGAGGATACAGAAGCAGAAATTTCTGAGGATAAACTAGGCATATGATTACACACATGGATATGGAAAACAATGAATATTTTATTTAGTATTATCCCCTAAGTAAATATCCAAGCTGATCAATTTGTACACGTTCAGTGATGAGATGTCAGTTATGCATTCAGCTGAACTCTCATCATAATGGTGTACCGTCTCAATTGTGGACAAATTAAAGAACATGATGAATGTAATGATATAAATTATTCAATGTATTTCATTAAATATATGGTGTAGGATTCTATATTCAGCTTTGACATTTATTTTTTCAGGGTCATGATTTGCTCCTCTGATCAAAGTCATTTCTCTTTCATCCTCAGCATATGCGTATTAATATCAACACATTTTGCATGCACAGCACATTCTCACTTTTGAATATTAAGTGCACGTTTTTGAAGCCTAGATTCCTAGTTTCTTCAGTGTATTTCTGTCATGTGAGTGTCCTAAAGAAACAAACAAAAGAAAAGCCCTAAACCTAAAGGAATCATTCTCAAAGCTGAGCAAGGACTAGTTAGATACTATCACTGGTTCATTTGTGGTTGGTTTTGTATATTTACCTATGACTGATAATAAATCTCTTTTGCTTTTTTAGAGTCTCCTGAAAAGTCTTCTGACTTTGAGGTATTGAGTTTTATAATTTTATCTTGAATTATTTATTAACCACATATTTTGTGAAGTATACATTCATTATTAATCATTTTTCTTCAAACCCATTTAGCCTGCTGAAATGCAAAACTCTGTCCAAATAAAGCTTAGAATGGAGAATAAACAAACATTGAGAGCAGGTAATTTTACAGTTCAAGTATATTAAAATGAATATTTCAATAGTTGATATTAATAGTCTCATCTCCCCAATGTTTATTTTTCAAATATTATGGAAATATTTGAGGTAATAATGTCATAATGGTATCCACTTTGAAAAACTGATTACTTATAAGAACACGAATTTTAATTAGTTTTTTAAAATTAGCTTTAATTTCAGGTGTTTCTACTTTTATGTCTGATACTGTAATGTTTTGTATTGGGAATGTCGTATGACTTAAAGATTCAAAAGGGTGAATTTTTAAACTCTAATATTTTTCTGTTCAAAATTGATTCAAATTCTACCCTTCACTGCAGAAAACTTCACTTTTGACATGCCAACTGTTTTAACATTGGTTACCTCATGGGATGTAGTCATTTGAAGCATCCTAAGGAAATCAGTTATTCTGATTAGCTTACTCTGTGTGTGTGTGTGGTGTGTTTGTGTGGTGTGCACGTTTGTGCCTATGTGCATGTGTATGTGTGTTTGTGTGTGGTACCCTTAATTTTTAAAAAATGGGAGATGTCAGTCCCAGCTACTCAGGAGGCTGAGGCAGAAGAATGGCGTGAACCCGGGAGGTAGAGCTTGCAATGAGCCAAGATCACGCCACTGCACTCCAGCCTGGGCAACAGAGTGAGACTCCGTCTCAAAAAAATAAAAATAAATAAATAAATAAATAATAATAATTAATGGGAGAAGTAATCGTTTCCTCATGATTATTTTTGTAAAACTGTGATTCTGAAGCATTTGGCTTTAGTGTTTTTTCATTGTTTAGAGGTAAACAATTGTCTAAACTAGTTTCTTAAAAATTATTTTTCCTATGCATGCTTAAACATTACACAACATATGTGCACGGTCATAGATAATGTGTAGAATTTGTTTTCAACTTCTAATATGTAAATAATTGTACATTGTGTGTAATTTTCTGTAACGTTCTTTGATCAGCATTGTATTGTTAGATCCATCCATAAGGGCAGAATTAGCTCTGGTTTTGTTTATATTAGGTTCTTTGTAGAATTCCATTATATAACTGCACCACGACTAATTAAAGCTTGTTTATGCAAAAACAAATACATGAAAATAAAAACAAATACAGATTTCAGTCTTCATTTAAGTTGGTTTTCTCTACTGATTTTTGATATATTAGAAACTAAAACTAAAATATTTCAAGTATCGCTATGCACAATCATCTACTTTAATAAAAATGAAAACTGTGACCTATGGACCATTAAAGCTATGTTTACTAATGTGTAGGCATTGATTTAATTTTTTTATGGAAATGTTAGGTTACTTAAAGCAATATTTTTATATAGATTTCTAATGTTTCTCTAAGGCATCACAAGGTGATTCTGAAGATATTGATTTAAGACTGTCTCAAAATATTTAAAGCAGTTTTTAAATTTAATGTGTATGCAATAAAAGTTTTTTAACCTTTTTTATTACACATACACAACATATACTGTCATGCATGTTGAAACTTAAAATTGTTAGACAAAGTTTGTTAACATAAAAAAATTTTGTATTTCTCAAGAGTCTTATTTATTGATAATTTCATTTGAATAACTAATTGAGATTGCTGAGTCAATCAAACTAAGTATTGCTAAAAAATAGAAAAAATGAAAGATAACATATACTTAAAGTTATCTCATTAAATTTCAAGCACAAAAAATACTGTTTCTGGGAAGAAGAACACATTACTGCCTTTTTGAAGAAATAATTTGTACAAGTTAGCCAAATTTCTATTTTTTTATTCTAATGAATAAAAAGTTCACTTTTAAATATTTTAGTTTGCTATTCTATTAGATTGACCATAAAAGTGGTGGGAATAATCTGAAAAAAGTATGTACAGGTTGAGTAAGAAAGACCACAGATTCATGAAAAAATAGATTTGTATACTTTTAATATATATCATAATAAATGTTCTCATGAATATATCTATGGTTGATATTTTATAGATAATATGTTCACATTAAAATCAGTACAAGAAACATATGCAGAATCACATTGGAGTTCTGAGGTATTGTGTAATTTTGTTTTCATTATTTAAATACAAATATTGATTGATGTTGAAACTTTAGAGACTGACTTTATTGTCTTACCTCTGCATATTGCCCTTCAGCAATTTCTGATATTTTTCAGAACATACTAAACAGTTATTATTTGCTAAGTAGATTATTGCTTCATAGTGCAATTCCACTTATTTTCAGGATTAAATTTAGAAGATACTGTAGTATAGTGTAAAAATATGGCTTAGAAATTCTAGGAGTTTATTTGGATTCTGAATCTACCTTTGTCTAAAAACTGAGGAATTTCAGTTCAGGGGTCCTGAAATGAAATTCCTCAGTTTTTACCTGTAGGCAAATTTATGGTTCTCTGGTATATCTGGATTCAGAGGAAAAAGGTAAAACTTGTTTTGCATACCTTGGAACTTGAGAAGATAATGCTTGGGACTTGAAAGTATTGATATATTTGGATTGTACAGCGTAGAGCTTAAGGAATATTTTAGGCAAAGGAAGAGCAAGAAAAATAGGAAACCTGAGAAACTATAATAAAAACAATTTGGTTGAATAGTTTTTTAAAGAATAAACATCATTTTCACAAAGAGAACTCTTTGAGTTCTTTTGTGGCAGCCATGCTTTCAACCACATAAATATCTGTATTCTGAGATCACAGCTATGTAAAGAGATGGAAAGGGCCTCGCTGGTTGTTAGAAGTAGCTGCTTTATAGTAGTAACAATCATGAGTAGAAGTCAAAAAACCAGTCAGTATTCTGGTTCTGTTACTTACTAGTTATGTAACCTTGGAGAAAATTATTTTGTGTATTCAAATGTCAGTGGCCTTGTTCGTTGAATTAGTGCTAATATCTACCTCTTAGTTATTTTTAATTGAGCAATATTATAATAAAAGTAAAAATATTTTGTAAACTGAAAAATGTGTATACAAATGTAAGATAATGATGACAGTGGTATTCAGTGACGTAATAAATATTGAGGGTACTTTTTTTAAACGTGATGGCAGTATTGTCAGAAAAATATTGGGGAAATAACAACAGACATGTGGATTTCTAGTCTAGTGTAAGGGTATATTAAGTATCAGCAGGCTACTACTACTGTTTTCTAAACTTGCTAGGAATTTAGCAAGTTAGACCTCTCTGATGAGATTTTAAATGCTTTGACTATTAGTAATGTCCTTACTGAATAGCAAAAGTGTGCTAAACAGTGAGACCTGAACACACAGGATGAGGACTTTTGTTAAAGTGGTAGGAATAGGGAAAAAGTTAACAACACCCTTAGGTAAATATAAGTGATCTCTATGTAAAGACAGGTAGTGTTAGGTTAGAGAAAATTGAAGAAGTTTGCAGTTAGGATGGGAATGGGAGTGGCAGTCAAATTCTGTAGTCAGAGATTTCTTTGAGACTGCCAGTCAAGCTCCCATAACAAGCATGAGAGGTAGGATGATGTGTAAAAGTATAGGTGAAAGACATTTGGAGTGGAGAAAACAACAGATCACATTTGTTTATAATTTTTCTGTTAACATCCTGGAAAGACTAAGAAGCAGAAAGTGGGGTAAACATCATCATCATCATTTTCATTATTGTAAGGTGTAGAAAAGTTTTCAAATGTGTTCCTGGCATATAGTAAATAAATGCTTTATGAATAAACATTCCTATATTTTTATGAAGGGCTTGCTATACTTTTCTGAAATTATGTCTTAATTGAGATCAAGTTACATACTTTATCTAATATTGGTTTCCTTTCATTTAAACATAATAGAATATGTTTCTTCTTTTAAGTTTCATTCATGTATTTCTTCTGTAATCAAAAATTTTCTCAAAAATATTTGATTATTTCAAATTCTTGTCTACCTAAATAAAGACGCTTCTACAATATTCTGTCTCATACTCTGAAGGTTCTCTTCCTTTCAAGTGTCTTATTTTAACCCTGAACAATGAGAATGAGATCACTTGGACTTGGGAAGGGGAGCATCACACACCGGGGCCTATTATGGGGGGGGGGGGGGGGGGGGGGGGGGGGGAGGAATTGCATTGGGAGTTATACCTGATGTAAAGGACGAGTTGATGGGTGCTGATGAATTGATGGGTGCAGCACACCAACATGGCACAAGTATACATACGTAACAAACCTGCACATTATGCACATGTATCCTAAAACTTAAAGTATAATAATAAAAAAAAAAGAAGTAGAAAGACATGTGACCTATAATCAAGAAAAAAGCATACAATGCAAGCAGACTCAATATTGCATGAAAAAAAAATTTATAATTGTGAGTATTTTTAACGTTTAATGTTGTCAATGTTATATAGCAAGAAGCAGGTGATTGTCTTTTGTTTTAAATGCCCTCTCATGTTTCTTGGGGACTACAAAGTAGAGTTAGATATTTTAAAGGTAATTTCCTCTGGAAACATGCACATGAGTGAATATATTTTCTGTGGATATGGTTTTTTTTTTTTTTTTTTTTTTTTGGATTTTCATGCTTGGTAACGGTTTCAATAGCTAAATGAAGATGAAAATAAGCTTGATTTAGAGAGCATATGTGAAGTCCTTTATATAAATGCTTTGGTTTTCAATAGGTTTCTATCCTTAAATCAAATTGCCTTTAATAGGAAACTGAGTATTTTTTGAAATATGTTAGTTAGGAAATCTTGATGTCACTCATTATTTTTATTATTTTTAAATTGCAATTCATTATTGATAGAACTTTGAACAGAATATTTCTGAAAGTGCTGCGCAGAATTACACGTGTTTACCTGAGGCTACATATCAAGAAGAAACCAAAAGAATAAATGGAAAACTAAAGGGTAAGAGTCATTTTTTATTTATAAGTCATTAGACAGTATGTTTATCTAAAGATTTGAGGACTGATATATTGTAATAGCCTAAGAACATTATCACTAAATGCACAGTATAAAAAATGTGAATTAAAATGGTAATAAGTTACATATCTTGTCAGGTGTCAGCAACAGAATTTATTGATGGTGCCAGAAAAGGAACTGAATTATTACTTTAAATTCAAGGTATTCTAAAACCTGAGGTACCTCAGGAAATAAGAGGAAAGATGTAAAAGAGGGAATAAAGAATGAGGAAGACAGAAAGTACAGGGAGGAAATGAGGGAAAAAGAAACAGGTGTATATAAGGGAGGTTGATAAAATAATTCTGTAGATAGAGGAAGAGTAGGGTTAGAAAGGTGTGAAGAACATATAGTGAGCTTCCAGTATAAAAACTACTAAAAGAATTACAGCAAAAATTTTCCACGCGAGCTGAAAACCGTGGCACGAGAACTGCATGACATATGCACAAGCTTCAGTAGCCGATTCGATCAAGTGGAAAAAAGGGTGAGTATCACTATCCGTCTTTATATAGAGATCACTTACATTGACTTATAAGTGTTAACTTTTTTTCTATTTCTACCACTGTAACGTAAGTCCTCATCCAGTGTGTTCAGGTCTCAGGGCTTAGCACACTTTTTGCTGTTCTGTAATAATGTTACTAATAGTCAAAGCATTTAAAATCTCATCAGAGAGGTCTAACTTGATCAAGTAGAAGAATGAAATGAAGCAAGAAGAGAAGTTTAGAGAAAAAAGAGGAAAAAGAAATGTACACAAAGCCTCAAGAAATATGGGACTATGTGAAAAGACCAAATCTACGTTTGATTAGTTTACTGAAAGTGATGGGAAGAATGGAACCAAGTTGGAAAACACACTTCAGGATATCATCCAGGAGAACTTCCACATGTAGCAAGACAGGCCAACATTCAAATTCAGGAATACAGAGAACACCACAAAGATACTCCTCGAGAAGAGCAACCCCAAGACACATAATTGTCAGATCACCAAGGTTGAAAGAAGGAAAAAATGTAAGGAGCTAGAGAGAAAGGTCGGGTTACCCAAAAGGGAAGCCATTAGACTAACAGTGGCTCTCAGAAACTTACAAGCTAGAAGAGAGTGGGGCCAATATTCAACATTCTTAAAGAAAAGAATTTTCAACCCGAAATTTCATATCCAGCTAAACTAAGCTTCATAAGTGAAGAGAAATAAAATCCTTTACAAACAAACAAATGCTGAGAGGTTTTGTCACCACCAGTCCTGCCTTACAAGAGCTCCTGAAGGACACTAAACACAGAAATGAAAACAGGTACCAGCCACTGCAAAAACATGCCAATTACAAGACCCTCATGCTAGGAAGAAACTGCATCAAATAAGAGCAAAATAACCAGCTAACATCATAATGACAGGATCAAATTCACACATAACAATATTACCTTAAATGTAAATGGCTCATGCACCAATTAAAAGACACAGACTGGCAAATTGATAAAGAGTCAAGACCCATCAGTGTGCTGTATTCAGGAGACCATCTCATGTGCAGAGACACACATAGGCTCAAAATAAAGGATGCAGAAAGATCTACCAAGCAAATGGAAAACAAAAAAAAGCAGATTGCTCTCTAGTCTCTGACAAACAGACTTTAAACCAACAAAGATCAAAAGAGACAAAGAAGGCCATTACATAATGGTAAAGGGATCAATTCAACAAGAAGACCTAACTATCCTAAATATATATGCACCCAATACAGGAGCACCCAGATTCATAAGGCAAGTCAATTAGAGACCTACAAAGAGACTTAGACTCCCACAATAATGATGGGAGACTTTAACACCCCTGTCAAATTACAGATCAAGAGACAGAAGGTTAAAGGATATCCAGGACTTGAACTCGGCTCTGCACCAAGTGACTAATCTACAGAACTCTCCACCCCAAATCAGCAGAAGATACATTCTTCTCAGTACCACATCACACTTATTCCAAAATTGACCATATAGTTGGAAGTAAAGCACTCCTCAGCAAATGTAACAGAACAGAAATCACAACAAACTGTCTCAGATCACAGTGCAATCAAATTAGAACTCAGGATTAAGAAACTCACTCAAAACCACAACTACATGGAAACTGAACAACCTGCCCTGAGTGACTACTGGGTAAACAACAAATGTAGGCAGAAATAAAGATGTTGTTTGAAACCAATGAGAACAAAGATACAACATATCAGAATCTCTGGGCACATTTAAGCAATGTGTAGAGGGAAATTTATAGCACTAAATGCCCATAAGAGAAAGCAGGAAAGACCTAAAATTGACACCCTAACATCACAATTTAATGAACTAGAGAAGCAAGAGCAAACACAATTCAAAAGGTAGCAGAAGGTAAAAATAATAAGAACAGAGTAGAACTGAAGGAGATAGAGATACAAAAAACCTTCAAAAATCAATGATCCAGGAGCTGTTTTTTGAAAAGATCAACAAAATAGACTAGCAAGACTAATAAAGAAAAAAGAGAGAAGAATGACAAATAAAAAATAAAGGGGATATCACCACTGATCCCACAGAAATACAACTACTATCACAAAATACTATAAACACTCTACACAAATAAACTAGAAAAATCTAGAAGAAATGATAAATTCCTGGACACAACACCCTCCCAGACTAAACCAGGAAGAAGTTGAATCCCTGAATAGACCAATAACAGGCTCTGAAATTGAGGCAATAATTAATAGCCTACAACCAAAAAAAAGTCCAGGACCAGACAGGATTCACAGCCGAATTCTACCAGAGGTACAAAGAAGAGCTGGAACCATTCCTTCTGAAACTCTTCCAATCATAGAAAAAGAGAATCCTCCCTTACTCATTTTATGAAGCCAGTATCATCCTGATACCAAAGCTGGCAGAGAGACAACAAAAAAAGAGAATTTTAGACCAATATCCCTGATGAACATCAATGCAAAAATCCTCAATAAAATACTGGCAAACTATCCAGCAGCATTAAAAACTTATCCACCATGATCAAGTTGGCTCATCCCTGAGATGCAAGGCTGTTTCAATAACAAATCAATAATGCATCACATATAAACAGAACCAAAGACAAAAACCACATGATTATCTCAAAGATGCAGAAAACCTTTGACAAAATTCAACAGCACTTCATGCTAAAAACTCTCAATAAACTACGTACTGAGGACGTATCTCAAAATAATAAGAACTATTTATGACAACCACAGCCAATATCATACTGAATGGGCAAAAACTGAAGCTTTCCCTTTGAAAACTGGCACAAGACAGGGATGCCCTCTCTTACCACTCCTATTCAACATAGTGTTGAAGTTCTGGCCAGGGCAATCAGGCGAGAAAGAAATAAGGGTATTCAATTAGAAAAGAAAATCAGATTGTCCCTGTTTAGAGATATGATTGTATATTTAGAAAACTCTATCATCTCAGCAAATCTCCTTAAGTGATATAAGCAACTCAGCAAAGTCTCAGGACATAAATTAATGTGCAAAAATCACAAGATTCCTACACACCATAACAGACACAGAGAACCAAATCATGAGTGAACTCCCATTCACAATTGCTTCAAAGAGAAAAAATACCTAGGAATCCAACTTACAAGGGATGTGAAGGACCTCTTCAAGAGAACTACAAACCATGCTCAACAAAAAAAGGGATACAAACAAATGGAACAACATTCATGCTCATGGAGAGGAAGAATCAATATCATGAAAATGACCATACTGCCCAAGGAAAATTTTAGATTCATGCCATCCCCATCAAGCTACCAATGACTTTCTTCACAGAATTGGAAAAAATACTTTAAATTCATATGGAACCAAAAAAGGCCCTCATTGCCAAGACAATCCTAAGCCAAAAGAACAAAGCTGGAGGCATCACGCTACCTGACTTCAAACTATACCAAGGCTACAGTAACCAAAACAGCATGGTCTTACAAAACAGAGATATAGACCAAGGAAAGGAACAGAGCCTCAGAAATAACACCACAAATCTACAACCATCTGATTTTGACAACCAGACAAAAACAAAAATGGGAAGGATTCCCTGTTTAATAAATGTTCTGGGAAAACTGGCTAGCTATATGTAGAAAGCTGAAACTGGATCCCTTCCTTACACCTTATACAAAAATTATTCAGATGATTAAAGACTTAAATGTTAGACCTAAAACTATAAAAACCCAGAAGAAAACCTAGGCAATACCATTCAGGACAGAGGCATGGGCAAGACTTCATGACTAAACACCAAAAGCAATGGCAACAAAAGCCAAAATGGACAAATGGATCTAATTAAAGAGCTTCTGCACAGCAAAAGAAGCTTCCATCAAGTGAACAGGAACCTACAAATGGGAGAAAATTTTTGCAATATACTCATCTGACAAAGGGCCTATCTGGAATCTATAAAGAAGTCAACTTTACAAGAAAAAGCAAACAACCCCATCAAAAAGTGGACAAAAGATATGAACAGACAGTTCTCAAAAGAAGACATTTATGCAGCCAACAGACACATGAAAAAATGCTCATCATCACTGGCATCAGAGAAATGCAAATCAAAACCACAGTGAGATACCTTCTCACACCAGTTAGAATGGTGATCATTAAAAAGTCAGGAAACAACAGGTGCTGGAGAGGATATGGAGAAAGGAACACTTTTACACTGTTGGTGGGACTGTCAATTAGTTCAACCATTGTGGAAACAGTGTGGCATTCTCAAGATCTAGACTAGAAATACCATTTGACCAGCAATCCCATTACTGGTTATATACCAAAGGATTATAAATCATGCTACTATAAAGACACATGCACATATGTTTATTGTGGCACTATTTACAATAGCAAAGACTTGAAACCAACCCAAATGCCATCAATGATAACTGATTAAGAAAATGTGGCATATACATCATGAATACTATGCAACCATAAAAAAGATGAGTTCATGTCCTTTAGGAATGGATGAAG